TTTATTTATTTATTTATTTATTTTTTGAGACAGAGTCTCACTGTGTTGCCCGGGCTAGAGTGCCGTGGCGTCAGCCTAGCTCACAGCAACCTCAAACTCCTGGGCTCAAGCGATCCTCCTGCCTCAGCCTCCTGAGTAGCTGGGACTACAGGCATGCGCCACCATGCCCGGCTAATTTTTTCTATATATTTTTAGTTGTCCAATTAATTTCTTTCTAATTTTAGTAGAGACGGGGTCTCGCTCTTGCTTAGGCTGGTTTCAAACTCCTGAGCTCAAACAATCCACCCGCCTCGGCCTCCCAGAGAGCTAGAATTACAGGCGTGAGCCACCGCGCCCGGCCGGTTTTTAAATATATCTAGAAATGGATATAGAAATAGGTAAGGTTTTTTTTGTGTGTGTATATATGTGTGTGTATACACACACACACACAGACACACATTTCCTAGCTTGGACAGGTGACAGGACCTAGAAACAATGACATCCCAGTAGCCATGAACACATTGGGAGCCCAGATCTTGATTTCTAAATACTATCCTCCACCAAAAGAAACCAGAGCTCCTTGGAGAAATGGCTGATTCCAGAGCTAAGGCAGGAAAAATACAAGGTGAGCCTAGAACATATGGTTGTACCAAAAAGTAAGGAAATGCTTATAGAATGATGGGGACATGCCAACAGGACGAAGAAATCAACTTGAAAGGGCTCCCACTGGTCAAATCTGGGACAATTTGTGCATGAAAATAAATAATCATAGTAATACATTACAATCCATTGAATGAAATAGAAATCCATGAGTCCATACTGAGATCAATAACTAAATGAATAAATAAATAAAGGAGAAGGGAAAACTCATCCTCACATGAGAATGCTACCTAGTAAAGGGAGAAGAAATGATGAAGTAAGAAAATCACTATTGACCATCATAATTATGATGAATGATTCAATCATTAATGAATGTTAAGGCTGGTAGATGAGGGTTTGATGAGGGACAGGATATTGACATAATCTCAGGATATCTCCCCCACAAAATATTTATCAAGTACAAAGAAAAAAACGGTGATTTTATGGTGGAGAAAACTACTTGACCAGATAAGCAAAGTTTTCATCACAGGGATGCCAAGGATTGACATCACGTGGCTCCTGATGATATGCAATGAAGAGCCCAGCCTCATTTCTGTGGGTTTCCTGTCAACATGTATGGCTGAGTCTAGTCATGAGCAAACACTGGATCGTGGACATACACTGGATATTTAGGGTATTAAGTCTGCAGCTTTCTATCAGATTGTTCACGAAGAGATCCAAGATAACAACAAAACCATATAATATACACAAACAGAGAGTGAAAGCAGATGTGGTAAAATATTAAAAATTGAGGAACCTGAGTGAAGGGGACATGAGAGTTCTTACAACTTTTCTGTTATTTGAAATTATTTCAAAATAAATATGAAAAATTCATATTCATATTCAAAATAAACATGAAAACATATGCCTACATAAAAACATGTACACAAATATTTATGGCAACATTATTCATAATTGCCAAAAAGTGAAAACAATAAAAATATACATCAACTGGAATGGATAAACAATTGTATATCTATATGATGAAATATTATTTGGCAATAAAAAGTAAATACTGATCCATGCTACAACATAGAAGAACCTTATGAACCTTATAAAAACAGTATGCTAAGTGCAAGTGGCCAATCACGAAAGACCACATGTTGTATGTTGTATGATGATTCCATTTATGTGAAATGTCCAGAATAAGAAAATGCATACAGAAAGAAATGGATTAGTTGTTGCCAGTGGCGGAGGGGAGGGGGAATGGTGAACAACTGCTAATGGGTTTCTTTTTGGGGTGATGAAAATGTTCTAAAAGTGTGGTGATGATTTCACAACTCTGTGAATATACTAAAACCCCCTGAAGTATATACTTTAAATGGGCAAATTTTATGGTATGTGAAATATATCTCAATAAAACTGTAAAAGAAAAATAAATTTCATGCATATAACATAAAGTCACAAAATTTTCTAGGCCATTGGCACAAAGGCAGACATAATGAGAAGAGAAGAACTCTGAAAGTCTTTTAATAAGAAGAGCCACTACATGAGTAGTTCCTCAAAAAGACCAAGCCACGTGATCAAGTGACATGGCTTACCTTCCATCTGGCTAAGTTTTGTTTCTGACTCTAGGTTCCATTTCCCCTGGCAGCACTGGAAGCAAAATAGTGCAATGGATAAAGAGCTAGCCCAGCAGCCAGATTGCCTGAGTTTGAATCCAAATCTACTGTAACTTGTTTGACCTTTGAAAAATTTCTTAACCTCTCTGTGCTCTAAAACGGGGATGGCTGATTAGGTCGTTATGAAGAATAAATGACATAATCTATGAAAAAAGCTTCAAAAAATATCTGTTGGAATTCATTAGAAATTGACTGCTTTTTAAAAAGTTTCTCCTGTCAGAATGTGCTTTCTTTCTTAAAAGGCCCCAATTCATTTCATCCCCCCATTTATCGGTGGTCATTTCTCTATTGCATGCCACCTCCAACTAACAAGACACAAGGTAGTAGTTGGCCTAATACTAACCAAGTTTCATGGTTCACAGAGTCTATTCCCCTTCTGATATTTTTTTTCCGTGCTCCATTTCTTTGTATTATCTGGAGCTCATTATGAGGACTATAGAACATGGATCAGAGAATGTTGTTTTCAAGGGTCAAGGTCATTGCTGTCATTCCCTCATACTCTCAGATTGACTCCAAACTGCACACACACCTTGGCTTCCTGTCAGCCTATAGATGTGGCAAACAGGAGCTTAGGAAGGCTTGATCATGACAATTGATGCTCATTTTATATTAATGATGTGCTAGCTACCATACGTGCATTGTTTCATTTCACCTTCACACAAACTCCATCTGGTAGACGATTATTATCCTCTTTCTCACATGAGGAAATTGATGGCCAGAAAAGTTAATTTATCAAGGCCACACAGCCACTAAGAGATGGAGCCAGGATTCCAATCAAGCAATGTCTTCAGATCCTAGTCTCATAAATTGCCATGTTATATTGCTTGCCTCTCCCAGAATGGAAAAGAGTTTTCAGCTAAGGCCCTCTTCCAGGGTAGGGAAAAACAACAGAGGCCAGAAATTGTAACTTAGCTACCTGTGTGTCCTCAGTGCCTAGGACACTGCCAAACATATGATAAGAACTCAGAATGTTTGTTCAACTGCTCAACTGTGTATGGATGATCTCACATGGAATTAAATGAATCCTCTGCTTGCAAAGTACTGCTTCTATAATACTTGCAGGACAATTTAGAGGGGTCTAGAGTCTGGGAGATCTTAAAATTCTAGTCCTGCCATTTGGTAGTTATATGACCTTGGACAAACGTATTTAACTCCTCTGAGTCTGGAGTCCCTAATTTGGAAAATGTGGTAAAATAATACCCACTTCATGGCATTGTTATTCACATGGAATGAAATAATGCTGCAATACTAACCACACAGCAGGTACTCCATGAATGACAGTTATTATTATTGCCCTCCTTATCCTTCCTTCCAAATAGGCCTTTTTGAGGAGCCAACCATATGTCGCCTCCCAACTTAAAATAAGTGAAGCAGAAATTGAGATTCAAAGTGGAATAGTAGAAAAAGCATTAGGTTGGGAATTGGGAAACTTATCTCCTGGCTTTTGTTGCTTTCCCTCTACCTAGCAGCTATGTTACCTTGGTCAAGTCACCTTACTTGTCTTCCAATTCCATACCTCGAACTAGAGAATTCATACCTCAATTTAGAAGCGTCTAGAAGTCTGTGAATCTACCTGAGACTAAGAGATTATGTTGAGGAAGTATTACCCTTGATTTGGTTGTTTTTTAAAAAAATTATGTGGGGTGGTTGGAAAATACATTCACTATTAACTCATTTTAGAGTTACATGTTGTTCATGTATTTTAAACTTTATGAAATATACTTTTCTCCAAACACCACAGAAACTATGTTAAAAGCTACAGAAGACTCACACCCACCACCTAGCGGTGAAAAAGGGAAGTTTCAGTTTGGTGAAGCAAGATGTCCTGCCACCACATGTAAAGGATGGTTTCCCATAGCAATCTTTTATCTTGTAGTCGTCCTCTCCCCTCACCCCTCAGGACAGTATTACGTACAGAGATACTCAATACTTCCTAACTTAATAGCTTGTTCATTTGACAATACTCTTAAGCCAATGAAATATTGTGGACTTCTGAGAATTGTGGAAAGATCATTGGTTTTAAGATTGGGGCGGTGGGGGACAAAGTTGCCTTTGTATTCGCACATCTCAAACCACTCCGAGAGGCCTACCCAGTTCATCTGTTTATGGATAAATACGTCGTTCCGCCATTCCACAAGTGCCTGGTTCAGAGAACCAGAACCATTACCTTTGAAAAGACCTAAGTCAATACACCATCCTTGATGTCAAGTATTTGACTTTACCTACCACAGTACTTAAAATAAAATCATTAAACTTAAATTTAAATATCTAAAGCAGGAATGCATTTTTGCTCTTAATCTTAAGCCCCAAAGGTGGGGAAGAGGCCAGAATCCTAGGGTACTAGGCCTGTTGGTATAGAGCTATCTCTTTTCCCTATGCAAAGTGATTTAATCATTCCAAGAGGCACCTGGAAATTCTCTTCCTTATCGAAAATATTTCTCTTCCAGTCCTTTCCTGAAAGCCGAAACTAAGGTATTTCCAACAGTCTTTAAGTATTCTTAATTAAGCCTTCTTTTGAAATACCATTTTGACTTTAACACACTTTTCTGAGATCCCTCGGGAATTTCGCTTATAATTAGCCTTGCTAGTAGAAACCTTTTAATTTTTTTCAAATTAAAACGCTTGATTTCAATTTTTTTACTGGGTTTACGAACATTAGCTAAGTCTCCCAATTACTTAATAACATGTATCCATTTCACCTTTGAAAACCTTCGGGCTCAGAGCCTCCACGGACACCTGGGCATTTATTCTTATTTCTGCTTCTTAACCAGGCTCCTGGGAGGAGCAGTTTCGACCGAGTTCAGACAAGCAGTTACTACGGAACTTGCAACAGTTGGTGTCGGGCGATAGGCAGGTTGGAAGTGATAAATGGAGCTAACTTAAAAAACAAAAAGCCCCAGGGAGGGAAGGGGCAGCCATGGCCTTGGGGGACAGTGCGAGGGCGGCGCGGGCCGGCGGGGCCCAGCTCCGGCCGTGGGAAGGCGCCGTCTCGGGCAGCCTGAGGCGCCGGCGAAAGGGACGGCGGACGGCGGGGACCGCGGCCCGGCTGGCGGCGAGATGAAGCGCGCGGGGCAGGCGCGCAGGCCCAGACCGCCCCGGGGCCACGCCGGGGCCACCGCGAGGTGAGGCCGCCCCTGCCCCCGCGCCGCCCCGAGCGGGAGGCTCGACGCCCGGGCCCCGGGTACGTGCGCGGCCCCGGGCGACGCGGCTGGGCGTGCGCGGGGCCGCGGCGGAGGCAGGGCCGGGCGGGCGGCAGAAGATGGCGAGGGTGTGTAGGCGGCAGCAATGCTCCGTTGAGAGACGCGGCTTTCGGCAAGAACTGGATTCGTGGCGCCACAAGCTCATTCACTGTGTAGGTGAGACCCTCGCCCGGCCGCCGCTGGCCTTCGGGCCGCCTCTCCGCCGGCTGCCCCGGACCGGGGAGGGAGCGGGGGCAGAGGCAATTGCCGCTCCGGCCCGCCCGCCCTCTTTGGCTCGGGCGTCCCCCTCCCCCACCCCCCGGAGTGCGAGCGCGCACGACCTCGGGGCGGGCCTCCCCTCTCGCCCTGAGCGCGCGCGCCAGCCCCTCCTCTCCGTGCGCCTCCCCGGGGCGGGCTCTCCGCGGGAGTGCGTGCCCCTCTTCCTCCCCCTCGTTCCTCTCCTCTGTCTCCCCGCCCGGCGCCGCCGCCGGCTTATTGTGGAGACTTGCCCCGCGGCGCTACGCTCCGACTGGGGTGGTGCGAGGGCGGGGGCGTGCTCAGCCCCCACCTCCGCGCTCGCCGCCACCGTCCTGCTCCCCGCCGCCCCTCCCCCACGTGCGGCGGCGCGCCCCCATCCCTGCGTGCACGCGCGGCGGGCGGCGGGCGGGCGCCCGGCGCTCGGGCGTGTGCGAGGCGTGAGGTGGAGATGGGGGCGGAGGGAGCCGGAGCTGTCACAGGCCCCGGGTACGCCTGACCGAGCCAAGTGGGGTGTCATGGCCGCGGGGGGCAGCGGCTGCACTTCCTCTGCGGGCGGCGGCGGCCGGGGAGTTAATCCTCGACGCACGGGTCAGTGTGTGCGTATTTGTGTTCGGTGTGTGCGCGGCGGGGAGGAGGGGGTGGGACCGGGTCCGACTGAGGACCTCGGGCGGGGGTCGCTCGTGTAGCCTCCCGGGGATTGGCCGGAGCCGCCGCCTCGCCGAATGCCTCGTCCGCCCCCCGCCTCCCGGACCTGGGTCGCCCTCGGGTGCCTTTTTTCCCTGCGGGCCGGAGGGAGTGTGGACGGGGGCGCCCCGGGAGGGGCCAGGCGGCCGAGCTGCGCCTCTCACACTGTGTGTTTTGTCTGTTTTTCTCTCCCAAGGTCCCGTTTCCCTCTGTGCGGCGGCCGGCGGGACCATAAGGGCTTAACTCATATATTTAACCCCCCTCCAAAAAGTAAGTGGCCCGTGTGGTGTCTCCGCTCCGCCCGCCGCCCTCTAGTCCCAGTCCATCCTATGTCTGACTCTCCTGTCCTCCAGCATTGTTACTTCCCCATCTTTGCTTCGGTGCTGCTGATGTGTGGGGAAATGCCCTCTTGTCGTCCTCTGTCCCCCACGCCCAGTCCTCGGGGAGGCCCAGAATTCCAGCTTCTCCCCCAGGGGAATATTCTTGGGAACCAGGTCTTCCCCAGCAGAATCTAGGAGATTGTATCCGTTCGCTTGGGCCCCTTATCCCCTCCTTCCCGACAGGGTTTCATTGGAAGGAATTATGCAAATCCTGCTTTCTGGTGTCCATTCAGCGGCAATTTCATGCGGTGAGAAGTTCTCTTTGTTGTGCGAGGGGGAGAACAGACACTGATTTAATAGACATATCTGTTGGGGGGAAGGGTGGAGGGGGTGTGGAGAGGCTCAGTTTGGAAGAATTACAGCACTTGGTTAGCTCAGTGTCTTTGTGTTTGAGCCTTCTGGCTTGACAGGAGGGTTTGCCCTTTACAATGTCCCATAAGGGATGTTTTCTATAATAGATTAAAAAACAAAACTGAAACTTTAAACAAGTGAAAAATAAGGTAATCTTTACTTAGAGAATATAAACCTTTCCATTTCTGCACTGTTTCATTATGGAAGTGTATAATGTGAATTTTGTTAAGGACTTAGACTGTAACACCAAAATTAACATACCCAACAATGCTTTAAGATGTATGATATCACTTTGGTTGTCCAAAGGTTAAAAGTACATTTTCAAACATACGCTTGTGTAAATAATAAAGGCATGAATCAGTTTTTTTTTTGGTATAATTTGTCTCGTGAATGCATTTTAAAATCCCCCTCCTGCCAATCCAAGACCAGTTCTGCCCTCTAGGAAACAAACAGCCTTTTGGTTATCAGTTATCCTTTGCTCTGGTTCTAGTTATTTTATTCTCTGAAACCTATCATACATTCATTAAAATGTTACATCAGCTTAAGCACTTTTTGAATTATGTATTATTCGGAATCATCATAGAGGAGAGCACCTATAGGAGGTTTTGAGAAGCATGAAATTAATCCATTTTCAGAATGGTGGGTTAATATGAAATCCTGAGATTATTTTGAAGAATTTTTAGTTCTTGTGTTTGTTTTTACTTAGTGATTGGTTTCTTTCACTAGGGCTTTTTAAGTCCTTCAAAGATTTTGAAATTGATGAATGTAGCCCTGTAGATTTCTTGTTAATGTTACTTTAGTTGAGATGATTTTAATGAGTTGTTTATCTTATTCTAATTTTGTTTGCTTTGAATCCTTGCCTTCTGCCTCAGGACCTTTTTTTATCAGTCACTGCTAGCATTAGTGGTTAGTTACTGCTGCTTGACAAGGTATTTTTTTTTTGGCTTTTTAATTTATGACTGATAAAATCCTTCTGTAAACATCTCAGTGGAATATCAAAATTTGGATATTTTTTTTGAAGGAGTATTTGAATCTGGTGATCAGTTTTCTTAAAGATACTTTTAACTCCAAATTTCCACTTTCAAGGTGGTAAAGTTCAGGAGCTATTTAGAGTCCAGAGTGCAGAGTGATATTTTACTCTGAGCAGCAATATATATTGATAGTCTCCCAGCTAAAATCAATTGGGCCTCATATTTTCTCTTTTATTATGTGTAATTTTGTTCTTTAAGAGGAGAGTTCTAAGTACATCAATTGTAGCCTTACTAACTTTCTATATTTAAAAGGACTGGCAATGATCGTTACACAATCCAAAAGTCAACTGTGGTTTACTACCAGATGTAAAAAGTCCCCCTTTTATTTTAATGGGATTGGTTCTCCAACAGTTTACCTTCTATTTGATTCTCTTGACAGATTATCTTAATACTTTAGAGTCGTTTGGTTTCTAAGTGATATTTAATTTATTGCAGCAGCCTGTGGATTAAAAATGGATTCTCAGTCATTTCCAAAATCTAATTCTTCCTTCTTTTGTGGTGGTGGTGGTGGTGGTGGTGGTGGTGGTGGTTCCATGATTAGGTTTAGTTGAATTGGAGTTAGTAGTGGGTTCAGACAGTGCTTATGCTCAAGATGGGTATTTGGTTACCAGGTGATTATTAAGGGGTCCTCTGGGACTAGGATGATCAGTCCAGATTCCAGGAAGATCTAGGTTCTTTCTGTGCCTGATATGTAACCTATTGCTCTGCTGCTCCTTGCCCTTGCTGTATTCAAGAAGCTCTCCCCAGTGTGGAAAAAGTTTTGATTTCAGCTTAGCTCTAGCTTGGCTAAAAAATGATAGCAAATGAGTCTCTTGGACTTACAGAAAGTTATTTCAAATTGCCCTAATTTCCTCAGATGTGCTTGTAGCTGGAGCAATTCTAGGAAGCATTTGAATAATGCCATTTTTTTAGCCTTATGGGGCTACATAAAATGGCCTGGAATTTCTTACATAGAATTGGTTATTAGATGTCTTTGGGAACTTGCCGTTTCTGAGTACTTGGCTAATTACTTAGTTGTATTAATGCTGTTTTTTGAGAGGAAAGGCAGGTTAGTGTTTTCTTCATTTAAATATTTATTAAGTATTTGTCTTATAACAGGTACTGTGTGCAAACAGAAATATTGGGGAAGGCGCCCTAACCTTCAGGAACTATTAGTCCTTAGAGAAAATATAATATATTCAGTTATTGTTTAAGATAAAGTGTGCCATGTGCTAGTGCACAAGTGAAGTGAAAGGAATCTCTTTGGAGATGAAGAAGACTTCATGAAGAAGGTGGTGGATTTTTGCTTCATTTTGATATGGAAAAGGGATTCCATTCATGAGAAAGAATGAACAGAAGTGGAAAAGGGCAACAAAAAGTTGTCTGTTTAAAGTGTAGCCCATGATTAGTGTGGGGGACAAGGTTTGCAAAGGTAGGTTGTAGGATTTTCTAATGCAGGAGAAAAAGTGGAGACCATTAGGCAACTTGCAGTTTGTAACACATTTCTCTACTTAGCTCTGGGGAGCCCCGGTGTTTCCTTTCTTTAAGGACTCCATCGTGGAATTCTACCACAGTGACACAGATTCTTTTTTAAACCACCTTGACAGGGACAATATTATCATCCACAAAAGTACTTTTTTTAAATAAGCTCATTTGGAGGTTATACCTTATTCTATTGCACAAAACCTGTTCTTGGAATTGCATAAAATCAGTGGCATATTCATTCTTTGAATACCCTTAGTATTGGCAAATTTTCATCTTTAGAGATTGGATTTGGTATTTGTAAAGAGTCAAAAAGTATTTGCTGTCAAGTGTGGCAAATAAAGGTGTATATTAAATAATGAAATTGGTTTTTCTCCCCAGGTTGCAAACTGGCTCTGAAACCTCAGGAAAGGGGCTTGATTTGTTTTGATGTGCCTCTGAATCTCTCTCTTGATTTCTTCTTTCCTTTATGTCTGTCTATCTGCTATGTGGAATCCAAGTTTGTGGTATTGGATAGATGCGAATAAACAAAGCTGTTAATTTTTGTAGTTTCAAATTAAAAACTTAATATCACTACTGTATAAATTATCTTTTAGTCTATCTGCAAATATTTAAAAACCCTTTTTATTATTCAATACGTTTGCACCTTGCTTTGGGAACAATTCCAGTATAAACTATTAACTCATTTTATTAACCATCTCTTGTATGCAGGAAGTATCCCAAGTACAGTGGTAGATACTCTGAATTTTTTTCTCTTTTTTATTGAGATATAATTTACATGTCGTATCAATTCAGTGATTTTTAGTTTATCACAAGGTTGTACATATATCACCACTATCTGATTCCAGAACATTTTCATTTTCTAAAAAAGAAACCCTTTATCCATAGGCAGTCTTTCCCCATTATTCTTAGGACCCAGCTCTTGCAGCCACTAATCTGCTTTCTGTTTGTGTGAATTTGTCTGTCCTGGACATTGCATATAAATGGAATTATACAATGTGTGGCCTTTTTTGTATCTGGCTTCTTTGACTTAGCATGGTGTTTTCAAGTTTCACCCATGTTGTAGCATGTGTCAGTGCTTTATTCCTTTTATGGCTAAATACTGCAGACTACCACATTTCATTTATCCATTCATCACTTCATGGACATTTGGGTTGTTTCCACTTTTTGGCTATTATGAATAATGCTGCTGTGAACATTTGTGTACATGTTTTGTATGGACCTTTGTTTTTACTTCTCTTCAGTATCTGCCTAGGATGAAATTGCTTGGCCATATAACTTTATATTTTGACTTTTTGAGAAACTACAAAAAAGTTTTCCAAAGCGGCTGCAGTATTTTACATTCCCACCAGCAGTGTAGGAGGGTTCCAATTTCTCCATATCCTCTCCAACACTTGTTATATTGTCTCTTGTTGTTTTTGATTATAGCTATTCTAGTGGGTATGAAGTGGTATTTTATTGTAGTTTTGATTTACATTTTCCTAATGACTAATGATGTTGAGCATGTTTTCATGTGCTTTTTGGCCATTCGTATATCTTTTTTTGAGAAATGTCCATTTACATCCCTTTCCCATTTTTTAATTGGGTAATTTGTCTTTTTGTTGAGTTGTAAGAGTTCTGTATGTATTCTGGATACTAGACCCTAATTATTATGTGCTTTGCAAATATTTTTTCTCATCGTACCCCCCATTTGAGAACAATTACAGATCAACCTATAAGCAGATAGACTGTAACAAAAGCTAAGCTGCAGTATACCTTGTGAAGAGAATATAATAATGAAGTGATTGGAGTGAAATAGAATTACTCGATAAAAGCTTTCTTAAACTTCCTTTGCTATGAATTATTAAAATTGTTAGTCATTTGTTGGAGTTGTATGATGACACAGATATACCTTGCTATCCAAATCTACTAAATTTCTGCCTTTCTATGTGAAGAGTCGAATATTAAGTTCAGATAATATGGTATATCACATTATTTGATTCTGTTTTATGCCTGAGTTTTGGATAGTAAATAACAGGGGATTGGATAGAGAGGGATACCTTTACTC